CAAGCAATGTTGCTTAAATGCTTTGAAGCAGCATCTCTAGATTTAGACTTCAGTTACATGTGTGAAGATGTTGTTATAAACTCAGTGGTGGTTATTTTATCCCAATAACCATAACAGCACCTCATAACCATAAGCACCTCATAAGCATGCTCTTACCCTTACACAAAAATATGATATAAGCATAGATATGTACTCTCTCTAAAAGAGAACTTGTGGCTTAGCAAGTTTGAATAAAGTATCCGAAGTGCTAACATAGCAAATGACCAGTGCATGCCATAAATCCAGAAGGCAAATCAATTCCTCCTGACTCCTAAGTACATGATCTTGGTCTCTATCTTTTATTTTACCTTTCCATCTCTAACTAGGCATCCCGAAGTATGAAAAATATAATGAACAGTGGATTTATTTGAAATATTCAATAAGACTTTTGTCATCTAATAGATAAGTTACAGCTTTTAGAAATTTTTTGGCTCAGTTCTGGAAAGCAGGTTTCCTTCTAAGCTAGTGCCCCTATCTTTCCCCTAATGTGTTATTAATTCTACTTTGCTATACAGTAATAACAGCAGCTGGAATATTTATTAGTGTGACAAATTTCAATAGATAAATAAATTAAGTGATCTAATATGTATCTCCTTAAAATAAAGAATATAGAATATAGGAAAGAAAGGAAGAATGGAGGAGAGATTTTGAAAAATCACTTCTGCATGAATTGCTATGGTAATAAAATATTATCATGATGACATTTTGTGGGTCAGCCATAATCTCTTCTCCATGAATTAAAGAAGTTGAATTCTTATTTTTTGCTGAAAAGTCTTTCCCTCTTACACTAATAAGATCTGGGTCACAACATTAGAGCACCGTTAGGTGATGTTTAGCAGTGCTTTGATGAAATGAGTAGTGGAGTCCCCAGAAGAATTCTTCCTAGCAGAGAGCTAGCTAGTTTCTAGACTGTAATGAAGCCTTTCTTTCTGAGAGCAAGTTGATACAGTACCTAGCCTATCCTGCCCACCTTAAGGCACTTTGGAATTAATGTATGTTTGGAACTCCTGTGTTCACTTAAGTGTGAGGTATAATAAATTGTAGCAGAGGTGTTTTGTACATATATTTTTTACTAATATTTTTATTAATTCTTTGAGAATTTCATGTAATCTATGGAATAAAATATGATCATATGAACTACTTATTTCTCCCTTCCAGCTCAACCTGAATCCTTAACACACACACACACACACACACACACACACACACACACATACTTCATAGCCTCTTCTCTTTTTGTTTTTCCAATTAAGTCCAATTAATGATGTTCATATGTCCATGGGTGAGGGATCATCCACTGGAGTATGGACAACCTATGATTGGACACACTCCCCAAGAACTGTGGTTCTCCCCTACTGCATCCATTGAATGTCAATAGCTCCACGGTTAGAAGTGGAACTTCGTTAGACCCTCCCCCATCGTCACTAGTGATTTGGATGACTTGCTCTTGTGTAGGTAACTGCAACTGCTATGAGTTCATGAGTTCAATAACCATGTCATGGCCAGAAGGCAGCATCTGACAGTCTCCTTTACATCCTCCAATAACTGCATTCTTTCTATCTCCTCTTCTGTGATGTTCCCTGGGCCTTGGAGAGGAGTTTGGGGTTTGATAAATATGTTTTATTTAGAGCTGAATTCCTTTAGTCACTTATTTTCAGTACATTGATCAGTTATGCATCTCTGAATTGACTGCTACCTACTGCAAAATGGATATCCTCTAACCAAGGTTGAGGGCAGCCCAGATCATTGGAAATAAACAAATATTAGAAGATAGTTTGATACATGAGTATTTAGTAAAATAGGAGCAATAGGTTCCATCCTAGGGCTTATAACCTTCCCAGCACTGGGCTTTTTACCAAGTTTATGGTACCAAGCATGCATTCCCTCCTGTGGAGCAGGTCTCAAATTAATTCAGTCAAAAAGTAGTTAGTTACCACATAATAATCCTGACAGAATGGCAGCAGTGGGCATATTTTGCTTGGCAGTTTCTATACTGAAGCCTGCAGGGGTGAAGTGTTAGATAAAGTCATAGACATCTTTCCTCCCTCAACAGTCTGCATAGTACCTTCTTGTACTATGAAAACTAATGAACAGGAAGGAAGTTTTCAAGTAGGTTTGGGATTAATTTCTCTATGTCCTGTAGCTAAAGTATGTGATGTCTTCAGCTATAAGGATCTTATATGGTTATGGTGGGTCACCAAGAGCAATGGTAATAGCCCCTGTTGTTTTGGAAATTTCTGGAGTCTTCCTAACCAATAACTTGTAGGGAGGTATCCCATAGATGAAAGCAGAAGGTTTGGAAAAAAAGAAAACTGCCATCTTGTATGTGAGAAAGGAGGAGCTAGAGCTTGGGCAGGGGAAAACAGAAGTCAAAGAGCTCAACCAATCTTCAAAATTCATTGCTAGATTCTATCAAATTGCAAAGGGTTTTCTGACAGATTTCAGTATATAGTACTGTTCTAGTTTTCTTCTCCATTTCCATGATGAAAACACTGACCAAACCCAACATAGGGAGGAAAGAGTTTATTTCATCTTACATTTCCCAGGTGGTCCCTTCCACAGTGGACTGGGCCTTCCCATATCACTCAACAATCAAGCAAATGCCCCACAGAAATGGCCACAGACCAATCCAATGCAGAAAACTCCTCAATTAAGGTTCCTTCTAACCAGGTCTGCCAGTTAACAACTAAAGCTATGCAGCACAACTGACCTCTTGTCAACTTGACACACAAAGTCACTGCTATTAAACCACAGCCTTTCCATTTTTTGTCCCTAAGATATGATGTTAATATTAATATCATAACATAAAACACCACAACTTTCAAAGTTCCACAATTCTTCAAAAATCCAAACACTTCAAGAACTCAAAGTCTCTTTTAAGTCTTTTAACAATGAGCTCCTGTAAAATCCAAAACAAATTAAGTACTCTCTTATTCCGAAAGGGAGGGATGAGGCACAGTTAAGCAAAACTGAAGGTCAGCCAGGTAGCTTAAGGCTGGACATCTGGGATTCACTCTCAAACTTCTTGGTGCCAAAGGGCTTGGATAGCTTCACTTCTCTAGTTCTGCTGTCAACAGAACAGACAGCTTGTCTCATAAGCTCCATGCCACATCTGCCACTTCCCTTGGCCTTCATCCCATGGACCTGGACTCTTTAATATGCTGGATTATCTCCTGAAACTGAGGCTGCACCTTCACCAATGGGCTTTTCTCGCCTCTCAGGGTGCAAAACCTCAGATTACTTCCATGACCCCTTGAATCCTGGAGGGTCTTCACTGCACCTGAGGCTGCAACTTCACTAATACCGTTTCCTGGCCTCTCACAGTGCCAAGTCTCAGCTGCGCTCCAGGTCCCCTTCATACTTCTAGCACATTACCAAGTCCTGCTCCCTGCTTAAGATGGAGACTCAGTCTGTCTCTGGGCCATAGCTTTGGTGTGCTGACCTTAAGGAAATATTTCCCAGAGGATCTCATCTCAATGATGCTGGTCTCTTGCTACTCACAGCTGATTTTCAGCCCCACCTAACCAGCATCAGTTGTCCAAGTAAAGCATAAGATGTTTTACTTCCAAAACTTCTTATTTTGACACAAAAGTACCTGAGTCTTTGCTTTCCTTTGAAGATTCACAAGTCTCTATCATCTACACCTCTTTCAGCATTATCTTCCAAGTTCCTATAGAAGAGCTCACTGAACTCCAAGCAATTTTCCAGTCCAAAGCTCCAAAGCTTTCACAATCTTCCTTATCACATAATTTCAAGTCCATGACATCAATACCCCATGACCCTAGTACCAATTTCTCTTCTAGTTTTCTTTCTATTGCTGTGACAAAACACTCTGACCAAAACAAACCAAGGAAGGAAAGGTTTTATTTGGATTACAGCACAGTTCATCATCAAGGGAGCCAAGGCAGGAACTCAGGGCAGGAACCTGGAGAACAGACCACAGAGGATGGTGCTTACATGCTTGCTCCCCTGGCCTGTGTTCAGTCTACTTTCTTATACAATACAGAACCACTTGTCCAGGGGTGGTACCACCGGCAGTGGGCTGTGCCCTCCCACATCACTCAACATAAAAAAATGCCCCACAGTCATGGCCACAGGCCAATCTAATAGAGACAATTCCTCAACTGGGGCTCCCTCTAACCAGGTATGTCAAGTTGACAGCTAAAGCTTTCCAGCCAAATACTGACTTAGAGGGTATTATATGACTCTTAGATCAGTCAAAATAGGTAGTTTTATTCATATGACTACAGTACATCCAGTATTTGTGTGAGATTCTAGCTTAGGAAACTTTGCTGCAACAAAGGGTGAATTAAAATCTGCAACTTCATTTTTCTTCATAATACCAGGTTCTTAACAACTAAAGATAAATGGACCACCCTTGCCTTCAGTGCAAGAAATGGGAGAAAATACAAATGCATGCAGCCTGGGGGAAGAAAAGACAGCAAGTCTGAACTCTCCTTAGTGGCTCAATTGAAGAGGGAGAGGCATGTCTGAGGGCTGTGGGAGTGAATCTAATTATCACTCTCACTTTCATTAATAGGTTAGAGCAAGTTAACTTCTGAAAGGAGGAAGAGGGAGATATTATGCCACAATTCTTAGGCTGCATTAGGATAATTTAAGCATCATGTTCACAAAAATAGATTTTTTAAATGTCCTATATGAGGCTGCGCAGGTGGATGAGAAAAACATTAAATATGGGGAAGGCAAAAATAAATGGTAACACATGGCGTATTTATAGATGAGAGGGCAGAGCACCCAGGAAAACTGGAGAGAACACTGTAATACATTTTAATCTTCATCTGCACAGTTTAATTGGTTGGATTAACCATTAGGTAAACAGTTTCACTGTTTCCTACTTCCTGATAGCCCTGATTTATTCCTCCCGCTCTATTCCTGGTTTGTGGGAAAGTCAACTCAGCTACAGTCTATGCATTTCTTGACCAATATTTTTGTTTTCTTAGGTTCACTAGCCAAAAATCAGATGATGACTATGAAGATTATGCTTCTAATAAAACGTGGGTCTTGACTCCAAAAGTTCCTGAGGGTGATGTCACTGTGATCTTAAACAACCTGCTGGAAGGATACGACAATAAACTTCGACCTGATATAGGAGGTATGTGGAAGCCTTTCATGGTGCTCTAGACAGCGGGCACATGCCTGTGATTACCTCATTAGAAGAAAGTATCAGTCTATTTCAAGAGCCAGAAGCATTTAAATTATAATTCCATTGAAGGATTCAATGTCAAGAAAGAGAATAGAAATAGCTTTCAAGCATGAGGGTGGTAAACGGGAGGCTTGAGAGCTACAAATACAAACTTTCCCATATATTCCAGACAAAGACTTCATAAAAATGTGGCAACTACTTAGGAACTATCAGGAAAAAAGAAATAAAAATAACAATAGAGAAGATATTTTGGATAACTGTGACTGTATAACAACCAACCAAAAATTTCAGTGTCATTAACAATAAGCATTGATTTCACAGTACACGGGGGTGGGGGGCGGCGAAGCTGGGTCAGGGCTCATTAGTATACTGTACCTCATTCTACTGCTGAAACCGGCATCAAGATAGGAATATCCTTCTTACAATAGAACAAAATAGAAGGCAATACTCACAAGGCTGAATGTTTATGTTTAAATTGGCATATCTGCATTTGTCTATAAATTATTGGTCCAAGTAATTTTCACCAAGCCCAAAGTCAAGAGACAAAGGAATAACCTCACTGATTGGGAGCCTGGGGTGTGGTTGGCAGTGTTCAGGAAGGAATCCATCTGCCACAGAGAGTTTGGGCATAGTACTTTCAAGGAAAATGAATAAAGATGAGACAAGTGTGCTGTTGAATGGAAGCCCAGAATGATATTGTGAATCTTCTGTTCATTAAGTGTTAAATTAAAACGGGGCACATTCATTTCATCCTGGATGTCACACCACAGATTTTTAATATTAGTCCTGTCTAACAAATAGGCGTATAATGGGCTTCCATATGGTTTTCTTGTATCATCTACACAGTTATAGCATCCAGTAAGTCATGAAAGAAGATTGACTTTGTGTTGGCTAGAGGTATGTGGGGATAAAGTGGTCATAAAAGGAATCAACAGGAGCAATGTTAAAAAAGAAATTCATATTTCTTATTACTCTGTCTAAGTCAAATTTCTAATGCATAGTTCCCTATCTCTAAGCAATCATGTTTCTTCATGCAGCAAGTGAGGCTAGGACATGCAAATAGACTACAGAGCTCAAAGAAAAAAGAATGTTAAAATTCAAGATAGCTGAGAAAAGCCCAAAGTAAATGGAAGAGCAATGTCTTCTGATTTCTGGGTTTCTGTTCACTTTTACAATCATAATCATCTGTAAATTCTAGTATGCTTGTTTATTGCAATTATGTGTTTAAAATATTTCTTTGGAAATAAAATTATTATTAAAATGAGAAATTGTGACTCGTACTAAATTGGTTCTGAATAAATCACTCCCAAGGCAGCTAACAAAGCCCAGCCTAAGAAACAGAACTAAAACAACATGATTTTTTTCCTCTGCAAATGCATGTATCTGATTCTTTTTGCAGTGAAACCAACATTAATTCACACAGACATGTATGTGAATAGCATTGGTCCAGTGAATGCCATCAATATGGTAAGTTTCATAACTGGTCTACTTTAGCATGGAAATAACAACTAATATTTTTAATATGTTGAATTCTTTGGAAATTTCTTGCAATGCATTTTGATCATATTCAGATCCCATCCCTATCTCCAACCCCAAATTTCCACCCGTACAACTTGATGTCTTCTGTTATTTTTAAAGGTCTATTGAGAGTCTACTTTGTGTTCCCCAAATGTTCTTGGGTGTAGGTCCATCCCTTAGAGTTTAGTCAACCTAGTAGGTATCACAAACCTAAAGATAATTGATTTTTCCCTCTCCCTATCAATTGTCCATAAATCCTCAGGTTTCAAAACTTTAGAAGGGACAGATAATTGTATAGATCCACCGTTTTTCTTTAAATTTGATAACTAATACTTGAGAAATTTTCTTATAAAAATCTAATGTGATCAAACATAAAATTAATTTGCATGGTTGTACTATAACACTATTTCAATAATCACTATTTAAATGCCAAGTGCTAATTACAGCAAAATATGGTATTCCATTATCATTAGAAGATTGATGGGGAAGGAAGAGTAGTGTGTTTCTAATCAGAAGTGCTTCTCAGTTGAAATACTGCATCTTTTTTTCTACAATTTCAACCTAAATCTGAATGAGAAACTGATGAGTATATAATTTCATATGGTATGACATATAGTATATTAAATATAGTATAATCTGTTAAAAAGATTAAAGAAATATAAAATTCTGTCAAAACAACATAGTATTAAATATTGCTATAATGCTTAGCATAATATGGTAAAAATATTATTATATATAACATATATGCTATATATCACTGTGGTGATATTATTATTTAAAATAATATTTACTAAGCTAGAATAAATTTATTCTCTTAAAATGCATAGAGAGACATAGGTAGGAAGATATGAAACTATAATTGCTCTCAATTGCAGTGATTAGTAACATACCACCACTTGCATAATGAAAATAATTCTAAGGTGTCACATCTTTAGCATTCTGATGCAAATGGTAAGCATTTAAAAATAATCTATATGGGGCAATTTAGCTTTTCCTTGCTAGTAGTTTATTTAAAGGTAAAAGCTAGTTTCATTATTGGAATAACAGTTCCCCAGAACTGTCCATATATTTGTGAAAGGCTGTTTTTAGAATCAAATATTTTCATGCATATTTGGGGCTAAATGTGTCCTAAATTACTGCATCATTTCATATCCCAGCTAACACTAATTAGTTAACAAATACTTCATAAAAAAAGATTTCTGACTAGGGAAAAAGATTGGCCGACTAGATTCAGCAGAAGGACAAGCACTGCAGAATGACTGGAGGCACCGACAACACAGTGGACAGTAACAGGGATTACAGAGTATATGGGCTCCAGTGGTGGGGGGAGGCTATGGGAGGGTGCCATTTGGGACGTGGGTATATAGATGAATAAGGTTGTTTTGGATGTTCTGTATGATATACACACAAAAAAAATCAACAAATAAAAAATGACTGATAAAAACAAGAAGAAGAAGAAGAAAGATTTTCTTCTCATTACTTACAGGCTTTAGTAGGAAACTAAATGGTGTACAGAAGGCTTCGTGGTGGGATGCAGTTAGTCACAGTGAGATACAGTAAAGAATATAGAACTCTGTGAATGCCCCCAATAAGTACTTCCTGACAATCTATGTATTCCTGAACAACTCAATGCTGCCCCTAGCTCTTCGTGGTTTTTCAGCAAAAAATGTAGTGTATGTGCTATGACAGGAAATGAAGGGGCCCTTCTAAATCATTTGTAGTCTAAGAACATTGGATTGTTTTGACTTTCTCTACTTATTCTATTTATGTTCAGTCTGATTAAAATCAAGTTATACAAGAAGACATAGCTAGAGATGGTTATTTGAAATCAAATAATTTAAGAGTTGTTCAATATAATACAGTTGAGTCTTTGGATTGTTCACCTAAATTAGTTCATGTACAACCATATGATAGAGGAAACGTGCTTAGTCAGAGGCCCAACACAAAGTAAGTGCTTGATAGGGAACAACAAGAGGAAGGAAGCTGTCCTCAGGCGAGGGCTGCCCACCACCCATTTTCCTGGCTCCACTCTGGGCCCTTGTCTGATGAGTTGGCATCAGTCTTGTGCTTGAGGCCACCATTGCCACAGGTTCACCTGAGCAAGCTTCTAGTGGCCTGAAAGCCTCTTTTTCCCTGTGTCCATGGACCAACCCTGACTCTTACAGTCTTTCCACTGCCCTCTCCCCCTCTCAATGGTCCCTGAGCCATGGATGGGTGAGGTTTAATATCGGAGTCCTATCCAAGGACACACACTCTGTAGTCTCTTATTCTCTAAAACATTGCCATTTGTGGCCTTCTGTGTGCATCTGATTACTGCTGGGTGAGGGAGTGTAGACCTTTCTTAAGATCTCTAGATAGACCAAATAGACTGCACTGAATGAATCTGTATAGAAGGACATCCGGGTAATATGCTTGATGAGATGGGACTTCACTTATGCAACAGAATACATGAGGCTCTGTGGGAGGGGGGCATAGATGGAAGAGGGGTTTTTAATTTGATTAAGAACTGTTGTATGAAATGTACAAAATCTCAATAAAATATTTTTTAAAGAGGAATAAAACAATAGTAGCCTTTTTTCTTAAAAACGGGGATGATGATGATAAAACAGACATACAAAGAATTCTAGTATTGTAGAACTTGAGGACTTAAGTATTCATCCAGGTCTAAAGTGTAAAGAGATGCTTTCCTCAAAATGACCTGGGAGTGAGGCATCCCACTACAACTCAGGGTCCTGCCAACGGTCTGAATGTACCCAGTGTTTGTTTGACTTTGACTGAGTCACCTACCTTACAGTTGACTGATATCAGCTTGAGGCAAATCATTCTAGTCACTTGTCATTACTCAATTAAGAACATGTTTTCTGATTGAGATGTATTCATCATTAGAAATTGTTGAGGCTAGAGATGTGGTTCAGTGGTTAAGAGCACTAGCTGCTGTTGCAGAGAACCTGGGTTTGGTTCCCAGATCTCACATGGTGGCTAACAACCATCTGTAACACCAGTTACAGAGGATGGGATGCCCTCTGCTGACCTCTGTGGGCTTTGTTATACACATGGTTCACATACATACATGAAGGCTAAACACTCTTATATATAAAATAAATATTTAAAAACATTTCAAAAGAAAATATTTTAAGTAAAACAATTTTATTATAATTAACTCACAAATAAAAATATCCCAGTTTAAGGAAGCCACCCAATTGGTTAATTTTCACTTGTTCAGAGGAAAGGAATTACAAATACTAGTGTTATATTTTTATTGGGTTTTGGCAATCTGTCAGATGTGATGCAAAGCATTGTGTGTATTTTGTATTTTCCTAACAGTTACTGATCATGCTCCTTAGAATCCCTATCTTATCATGGTCCACACATCTCCAGCTAAGTATCTTTTGAGTACATTGGATTTTACTTTACAACTGTGAATGTGGAAAGTTGTCTCTTAAGAGACATTTGGAAATATTGGGTGGGAGTTTGGGGTGGGGTGGAATATACTACTGTCATTTAGGAAACAGAGGCCAGGAGTAATGCTAAACATCATGCAACGCACATGAGAGCCCTACACGGCAAATAATGAGCAGGCCCACTACTTAGAAGTGTGAAGGGATTACATCATGGTTTGGCTAGTTGATAAAATTATAAAAAAATATGAAACTAATCTATGAGGACAGGTGAAGTAGTAATGTCATCAGCAAAACTATTGTTTCTTTTTGGTTTGTTCATACCCAAATAGCTTCTCCCCATAGAGGCAATCAGCATAAGACTGAGAAATACAGACTTTACAATATATTCTCATTGTAATAATGTTCTGTTCTTTTTAAAACAGGAATATACAATTGATATTTTTTTTGCCCAAACATGGTATGACAGACGTTTGAAATTTAACAGCACCATTAAAGTTCTCCGGCTGAATAGCAATATGGTTGGGAAAATCTGGATTCCAGACACTTTCTTCAGAAACTCCAAAAAGGCTGATGCCCACTGGATAACCACTCCCAACAGGATGCTGAGAATTTGGAATGATGGCCGAGTGCTCTACACTCTAAGGTGTGTTTTGGGGGCATAAAAGAGAATAATTTCTGAACATATATGGAAAAATAAATCAACTGTAATCTTGTAAAGAAAGAGAAAGGAATGGAAAGGAAGAGAAATTTTAATGCTACATTGTTTTTGGCATGTTTGATTCAAATAGAAAATGACACTAGAAAACGAGCTTTTCTTTCCAGTATCAATGGGTCTTTTAAAACACTAAGCCTAGATGGATCTTATATCATATTATTACCGCTGTACTGATGTTTGCTTACAGCTGACATAAAATTCCCTTTGCATTTGTGAAATTTTCAATGTTTATGTCAACTCTGGATTCTGAATGTGTGTCCTGTGGCCTCACAAAACAGAAGTGGAAAGAGCCATCCTTAGGAATACCAATCTTAGGATTGATAATGTTTTAATTTCTAGAAAGAAACATTTCCCTGAAGGAGAAGTGGAATTCTCTATGATTGTTGCCCTTTTTGGCTACAAGTGGCATGTACCTACATGATACTACCTTTCACCTACTGACACGCTGCTCTCTGTGACCTTGATAAGGTTCTATGACTTAATTTTCTTCTATGTGAGCATTAGGTATCTTTTGGAAAAGTTGATGGCGTTATCTCTCTAAAAGTTCGCATTTTCTGAACCTAAACCTTAGGTAACACTGGGAATGTTTTCTATTTAAATCATTTGATGCCATTATTCTGGCCCACTTCTTACTCGCATTTAAAATGTTTTCATATGAACGTTTCTTCTAGGGGAGAGTAGATTGTTAATATTATATATAAGCAGTACACTTAGGACCTGGCTCTGACTCTTGCTGTAGAATTTCTATTTACAGAATCTAGTGGAAGTTGTTTGTTAATGGGTCTCTTAGTACTAGCACCTTCTAAAGTTCTTGGTTTGTATTGCAAGCTTTATGCTTTCCCTTTGTTACATTTTTTTATTTAGATGAATTAAGCAAACAAGAGTAAATTATTTGAAAAGATTCCACCCCCACTCTCTGAGCTATCTTCCCCCTTTCCCATTATATCTTACCCCTCATTCTTTAACATCTATGAAATACAACTAATAATTCTTACATTACAAAGTTGTTGTAGATAAAATTGGTGATAGGTAAGATATTCAGCATGGATCCTGATACCCAGTAAGAATTAAAATTATTTGTATATATATTCAGCTAAATGTAAATAATATTTTAGATCTTAGTTTTTTAGAGCTCCCAGTTCCCAAATGGTTATGTAATATGTACCAAAGACATTTACTTTATGCATTGTAGTGTTTAATAATAAACATATAAAACAATACTTTCTTATGGCTCTAAAACCTTTCCCAGAGTTAAACCAGTTACTAGGAAAAATGGCTGCAATTGCAGAAAAAATTCATAGTATCTGTTTTATATTCATCATGAATTTATCAAATTATAGATAAGGTAATGACTAGCGTTAGGACTGTGGAAATCAAAGTGTGTATTATAAATCTGAGCTCATTCAGATTTATGAAATATGAAATCACTCAGACTATCAGAAGTCTTGTTATCATTTTCATAACACAGTCAATTAATATGAGGAATCACTACAATGTTTAATTATAGAAGTCACCTCAAAATGTCAACAATGATATGCCTAAGGCTTGAGGTAATAGTTATATGTACAGAGTGAGACAATTTCATCCTGATTCTTTATCTGCGCTATAACTGTGTGTGTATAGAAATATATACATATATTTATTTATATATGAAATCTATTATTTTCAATTTAATTTGGAGCGACAATAATAATCAAATTTAATTAAAATCACATTTGTGAATAAAGCCAATACTTTCTTTGAAGAGCAATTACAAAGTGACAATGATTAAAAGCTCCCACTGTGGAGAATGATAAGCCTAACTCCAAACCACAACTGTGCCCCTAGTTATGTGACTCTGGGCAAATTCAAGTACAATAAAGCCATAGCAACACTTTCTAAGTGGGAAAACAGTTTATTTTATCAGAGGATCAATTGTTCTGTTACACCACAGAAAAATAAAATGTCCCCAATTAAAATTTATGCTGATTGAGAGATCTTTTAAGATCATTTTTTCATAAAATAATCTTTTTATAGCTTAAGCGCTGGTGTTTGTGCATTGTAAGAAATGTTGTTAACAGCCATGAACATTTTGAAAATTGTCAATCTATCACCATTGGCGTATTACTGCATTCCTGCTTCTCTAATCAAGATGTTGGAACTTCTTTAGCTTTTCTCCCTCCTAGAGTCTCAGCATGAAGTTGGAAATACATTATCCTTAGTCTTTAGTCGTGATTTCATGTGCAAACTGAGGCTCACTAGTGAAGGCTTTCTTCATCTCTCTGTGTATGTGCATTTGATATTTCTTGTTTGTCATTAGACAATCTTCTACAGCATCCTGCCTAATGATTTCACAGTAAAAAGGTACGCAGCTCCATTATACAGCAAAGGTATTTAAAATCCTACCTATGGCAATTTAAAAGTAGCAAGTTCTTACTAACAGAAGGCCTGTGTTAATTAGCAGATAAGATCAGAGAATTGTCAGTATTCATTTAGATGTAAGCACCAAATGAGCTTAACTTCCTAAAACAGTTTGTTCTGTTAAGTAAGTTAAAGATGTTCACTGAGCAATTTCTTATGTACAATTAATTTGCAAAACAAAATAAAATAAAAACTTAGTAATAACAAATTTTGAATAAATGGAATAGAGGTAAATGGGATGTTATTACTTGCTATGAAAATATGATAAGATCACAATTTTTCTTAAATGTATTTTTATCTAGAACTTGTAAATTTCTTCATGCGTATCACTTTATAATATCAATCGCCATGTGAAAGGTGTTGAAGAAAACATGTCAATGTACATTCTAGATATTACATTTAATGTTTTTCTATGTATTTTTTATGTCTTTATAATTAGGCTGACAATTGATGCTGAGTGCCAGTTGCAGTTGCACAACTTCCCAATGGATGAACATTCCTGTCCCCTGGAGTTCTCCAGTTGTAAGTAATGTATCCTCTGTATTCTGTGCTTTCTCACCTTTAGCCTTTGGATTGCCTTGTCAATTAATTGAGAGAATCACAGGAACTGTATAGAGGCATTGGACTATGTTATTGACTTTGTAGTCTTTTAAATTGTAATTACAGTTAAGGAAATCCTTGCAGAAGAATTAATCTTTTAAAGTAAAAAAAATACAAATAAATTTCATTTAATAGGAAACTTTTCATAAATAGTCCAGTGGTTGCCTGGACACTCTACTGAGAAGTACTAAGAGCTCAACCAAACAGGCACTACGGGTGACTATATACCCCCACCCTCTTCCTTCCGTGGAATCAGAAGAGAGGTACAGCACATTGCTGGGTAATACCCCACAGAAATAGTTTATTGGCATAAGATATGCAAAATGGTTGGTATGTTACCTGGCAGAATGGAAGCATATTAATGCTTATATTATCATCATCATCATCATCGTCGTCATCATCATCATCGTCATCATCATCACATTAGTTCCAGGGGAAACCAGAAGAAAATCATATCACATACACTTAGAAAAATGCACATCATATACACTTAGAAAAACTTCCATATTCACTTTATTTTATGGTTATCTATCCAAGAATGGAATGTTTTCAGTTATAAAACTCAAGGTTCCTTGATTTTAGAGAGATTAGTCATCTTGTCTTTTAATTCAACAAGTAGGACTGCTCCTCTCCGGAGCCAGCTAAAACTTAAGATCCAGGAGCACTTGTGCTGCCAGGTTGCAATGGAAAGTGGTCCTCTGAACCCACACATAGCATATTATCACTTAACTGCTACAAGAAAACCAGCCTCTAGCACACTTTTCATAGATTGTTCCATATCACCATTCTTTCCGTTCTCAGTGTGTCCTGACACACACATCCTCAGAAATGCTCTAGGTATAACTTTCTGCTTGTCTGTTCTTAAAACGATGGAGTCAATGAAAAGTCAACTAAAAATAAAACAAAAATAAGAGGAAGCATACAAATTTTATCCCTACTAGTAAATCATGCTTCATAATCAAGGGTTATTTTTACTAGCATCATTAATATAGTTTTACTAGCATCATTAATATAGCAAATAGTAGAAGTAATATTTATTTATTCATTTTGAACCACATTAGAGATTGAAACCAGATATTTACCCCAAGTAGGCAAAAACTCTTATCACTGAGTTATATGGCATGCCTCAGTTTCTAATTACACTCATTTTTTACTTTAAAAAGTATATTCCATACTTAGCTTTATAATAATGCTATCAGCTCAGGAGACACATACTGACCACCAATTTTATGACACAGGTATTTCTACAATCCTATTAAGAAATGATTTAGAAAAAATAAGACAATTCCCAACAATATTATGGCTAGAAACATTATATTCACAGTCACCACTGCATCCTGATTATCAGTGTAATATCTTTTGTCCTGAAGAGCTTCGATTCCCCCAATCTCCTCCCTATGTTCCCCTTGGCATTTACACATACTTATTTTAATTTAACACTTCTATGTGTATTAAAAGAGTTTAAGTCAGCCAGGCGCGGTGGTGCACACCTTTAATCCCAGCACTGGGGAGGCAGAGGCAGGCAGATCTCTGTGAGTTCAAGGCCAGCCTGGTCTACATAGTGAGTTCCAGGACAGCTGGGGCTACAGGGAGACCCTGTCAAAAAAAGAAAAAAAAAAAAAAACAAAAAAAAAAACAACAAGCAAACAAAAAACGATTTTAGGTCCATCCTAATATCATTATACTGTTTCTCTTGTCCTTGATTCCTGCCACAGATACCACCTGAAACTAGTAATCATGTGGTGGCAGGATGCTGTGATCAGGCCTGTGTGGGCTGCTTATATTTAAATTAACAGTACCCTATCTCAAAAAATCGAAAAGAAAGATAAAAACAATAGAAAGAGCTTGTACAACTTGGCGGCTGATAATGTGAATAGGTCATATTTTCTACTCTAGGGAAGAATTTAAATTGATTATCGTTTTTCCTATGTTTACACGACTTCAGAATCTTGAACTATTTATTAGCTACTCTTCACAATGAAACAAGATTTTCTAAATCTGATTTTTTTTATAATGGGCACGTTTACATATTTCCTCAAGTACTGCAAAGTACAGATAGAACATTTAGGAAATCGTGTTTTTTTTTTTTTATTCTATCTTTATTACAAGTGATTTTTCAAGATTTTTTTTAATTATCGAATTTTTGTGTATTTTATACTTAATCATCTTTATATGCCTCCCTCATCTGCATCTTCCCTTTGCTCCCCCCGAAACACACACCTTATTTCATGCACTCTATCATTTATGGTAAGGTCTATCTAGTCAAGTAAGAGTACTCAGACATCCCTAAGCGGGAGCGTGGTGGCACACGCCTTTAATCCCAGCCCTCGGGAAGCAGAGGCAGGCGGATCTCTGTGAGTTCGAGGCCACCTGGTCTCCATAGTCATTTCCAGGACAGCTGGGGCTATAGGGAGAACTTGTCTCAAAAAGACCAAAAAAAAAAAAAAAAGTACTCAGATATCCCTCAGTGCAAGTTCATCCACTGAGGTCTAGTTAGCCTATCTAGAGTCCCTTCCCTTTAAGATCAGCTCTTCTTCACACAACAAATCAGCTGCCAGTAGTCTTTTGGCTAAGATTGGGGCCTGCTGCCCATTTTTTCAGTTCTATGCTGAGGTTTGTCTGCTTGAGTCTTGTGCATGCTGACGTCATTGCTGTAGATTCTTATGACCCAGGTCCGAGGAGCCTGTGACTCTTTTTCCAAACGGTCACGCACCTCTTCTCCTGGCTCTTATAATCTTTCAGCCCCCGTCCAGGGGTGATTTTTGACTTTGCTGTTTTTCAATCTTCCTGTTGATTGTGATGCCACTGCATTTCCTTTCTGTGATGTAGTTCCTTTTAGACCCTGGCGCTTAGCTAACCTGCATGCTGTCTCCTGTGGCATTTCTGTCTTGTTCAGAGAAGGTGTTTCCCACTTGTGCCCATTCACTGTCATTTTAAATGTGAGCTTTCTCATCTCCTGGTAGATGGCTATCCACGTGAAGAAATTGTCTATCAGTGGAAGCGCAGTTCTGTGGAAGTGGGCGATACAAGATCTTGGAGGCTCTATCAGTTTTCATTTGTTGGACTGAGGAACACAACTGAAGTAGTGAAGACGACTTCGGGTAAGAGGCACTTGAAAGGAAATTTAAGTGACCCTTCCAAAGTTATAGTTCCGGCATATGCGTTTGCAAGAAATGCATGACTATAAAAGATATTCAGAACGTTAATGAAGTGGTTCAGTTTCCTAGAGAAAACTATAATTGGTATTCTAATAGCATAAACATATATATATATTCTAACAATTTAAACCAAATTGGATTTAAATAGGTTTAATAATTCATTTTTTAATTTCTTTAAACAGAAATGAATGACAATTTCATTTTTTGGTCTTTTGGAGACAGGGTCTTCCTGTAGCCCCAGCTGTCCTGGAACTCACTAGGTAGACCAGGCTGGCCTTGAACTCACAGAGATCTACCTACCTCTGCCTCCCAAGTGCTGGGACTACAGGCATGTGCCACCATGCCCAGCTTGAATGACAATTTTTAAAAGAAAGTATTTATTAGGTGTAAGTTTATTTGTTCCTTCACTGATAGTGTATTGAAATAGCAACATTTTCAATGATCAGAAAAATAACTATAGTAGATATGGATTCATTCTCCATCCAGTGGTTTAATAATTTTAAACTGACTCTCACATTGAATAAGATACCAAGCTTTGGGTGTTGAACATGTCTGGATTCAAATCCCAAATACATCAGTTATCATTTGCAGATATTGAGAACATTAACTAAAACTCTGACAGTACAAACTTTCCCAAATACCTCATGTGAATTAAAAGAACTATTCATTGAGATTCCATTCACATTCATATGTATATATGGCGAGGGGAATTATATAGGCAGTTAGGAAGCCTAAGATTATTACTATTATACTTGTCAGGTTGCATGAGGCATAAAGTAGTCAGGATATTAGATTATTAAGAGAAGCTAAAAGTTGCTACTTTTGTATGAAATTGTAAACATTTTAATGGTATTATTTCCTTGATTTAAAACTATGTGGGAACAAGGTAGACATATTTTGAGACCAGCAACATCTCATGTGTGGCCAGTCCAAACTCTGCAAAGCTGAATGTGTGCTCCATGCAGAATATTCATTTTCATTCTATGTCAACATGTGTTTCCCAATTCCAGACATAAACATATTCTCAGCTTGCTATCTATTAATATTAAAATACATCACTTGAAATATATTCCCTAGAGTTGATTTGATCAGATTTCTGTTAACTTTTAATGATTTATAAGCATTTTGGGTAGAATAATTGGAAATATACTTTGGTCCACTGTACAGATACACATAAAGGAAATAAAGAAAACTGAAAATTTAGGACTCAGCCTCCAAAACACCAAGTTCTCTAAGTGACAGAGCCATTTACTCCTAACACTCTTTTAATCATTTACAAGTTTCTTCTACAGAGTCCTTTGTTTTTGAAAAGTAGCCAGAAAGAAGGCCAAAGTAGTGTTTGATTATATTTTTCAAAGGCGGCCTTCTGTTCCTTTATGCACAGGAAATTCTGACCATCAAGTACTAGAACAAGTTTTCATTTGATTCAGGAACAAAAGGTTCAAAATTGCATTTTCACTGATGCCTTCTATCTGTATCAGTAATGTAAAAATGATCTCTGATGGTATATGCTTCCAGAATGAGAAGCTGGGATTAAGTTCTTCTATAGATTCAATTTTCTATAATTATAGCAGTACCCAAAACAGATTCTGTAAACTCATGAATTGCAGGCTTTTTGTGTAGTCATTCTGTGTTCAGTCCAAGTGGCAGGAGAGAAAGGCTGACGTTACATATTCTACCCATCATCAGAGTTCACATGGAGAATGACTGAGAGCATTTGTTGGCAATTAAGAGACACTTGCTGGAGAAAATTATGCATATACTTTAAACATGACAAGTATTACCAAGGTTCCATAAGACCGCAATCTTTACTTGATCTCTAAGGAAATCACAGCAAAGCTGTCATGAGAAAATAATGCTAGATTTGATGGAGTGGCTTTGTTTAATGGAACTCATTATGTTTTTATGAATTTTAATATGGTGGGTGGATTTTCTACTCCTTGGTGTTGGTTGTTTTGTGTGCAGTACCATTTCAATGGCCTCAATGCAAAGAAAAGCCTGAACTGAAAACCAACATCAGTACTGATACTGCAGCTTGCTTCTTGTGACAACTGAGTACCTTAATATTCCAGAGAATTCCAGTGTTAAAGAGCTGACAGTAAAGTGTCACAAGACCGAGAGATAGAGAGTGATAGATCAATCTAGAATTACATGCATTCGAACACTGTGAACTTGATGATTCATATCATAGCCAAGTGTAGCTGTGACAGCAGTGCATTCCTACAGTTTGGATTAGATGAAGTGGTTTGTAGCATCGTTAGGACGAAGGTGATTTCTGTCAAAGCCAGCATGTCCCTGGTTTATCTCAGGCTAACACCCAGCACATGCCTGGAGCTGATGACATTATGCTTTAGGAGGTTGGGTCTATGGACCCTTCTGATGATGCTGTTCATTCACAGAATGTGGAGAAACTGTGGGGAGAGTGGATCTCAGATGATCATGGCAGTATATCCCACGAGGCTCAAGCTAGAACTGTATGCTTAGCGTTACTTTTCTTTAATTTGGCTTATAATCTTTTCAGTTCAGTTAATACTCCTTAAAATTATCAAAAGCAGCCAGTTAGAATCAGTGACATAAATAGAAATTGATATAAAAATATAATAAAAATAAATGTTGTAAACTTTTTAGTATATATTATTTATATATTATTTGTGTTCCCCAAACTGAGTAGGTTGAAAGAGAGATAGCAAAGATTCAGTGCAGGGCCAAAGAGCAGTAAAGTAAACCATTCCCCTTGTTTTAACAGGACAGGAGGAATGTAGCACAGGCAAGAACTTTCCCAGCAGCTAACTCAATGCTCCTTTTCAGTCCTTACATTCACTTCCTGAATTATCTTTGTTACTATCGGTTTTACTGTGGCATCCTTGAGAAAAATGTTTTCTAGTGATTAATAGCACTTGAGGGGTGCCAGTCAGTACATCAGCACAAATTCTGCTCCATAATTTCTCCTTCCAAACCCCATGTCTTCTTGACGGTTCTATATTGTGCAGAAGCACCACTGTGACCACCCCCCACCATGAGCCAGGCATGAACACTCAGAGTCATGTCTCTGACTCCCACACTTAATGAATCATGAAGGCACCTATGGCTTTGAAAACTATTGTATAACTAGCCTCTTCTTAGTTGCCATTGCCACTGGCCTAGTTCATAAGTTTGTCTGTTCTTATCTGGACTACGTCAGTCACTTATTTAGTCATGCTTCTGCTGTCAGTGTCTCTCTTCTGTGATCTATGCTTTGCACATTAACCATAAAAGTCATACTTCCTGAACACTAACAACATGTACCAGAAATCACATTGTGCAAATGACTTTAATTTTCAAAATCACAGTAATAGCTACAATTACTAACAATAACAATGTTACAACCAATAACTTTCGGGGACTTATTTATTAGCAAAAATCAAGTGCTTGGACACACGTGAATTCAACGGATCTGCTCCCAGACACATGTTCTTTCTTATTCTTTATACTATTTTACTCTCACTCTGGTCCAGGGAGATCCCATTATACGGTGCCAATCAGGTAACAAGAATTAAGAAAATTCAATCAAACTCATCATCCCTACTATTCAAGAACCCAGTGTCATGTCATTTTCAGCACCATTTCACTATTTCCTACAGTTTCCCATCCTGTCACAGAAATTACCTGTTAATATTTTCCTGAAAGAAAATGGTCTATCCTGTATATACAGTAAATCTCAATTTTCTTTCTCTCTAGCAAAATTTCTTAACTCACCCATAACATCTTTTTAACAACTGTTTAAATGTATTGATTTATTTTGTGTGTATGCACTTGCATGCATGTATATGCTATGGTGCGTGTATGGCAATCAAACTGCAACCTTATGAGAATGGGTTTTTTTTCTTTCCACCATGTGGGTCTCAGTGATAGAACTCACAATTTGCTGAGTCATCTCACAGGCCTCACACTTTTCCTGTGACACTAAGGCTCAACAAATAGCAGCTTCTCCATGATGCTTTTACTGATGTGTATTTCAAAACCATCTAGAAGGTCTTTGAAAATGTGTACTCAGACTCCACACAAGGTTTGCCCCTTAGTAGTTGTATGATTTTCCTATAAATCATTTAACATCTGAGCACAATGTCAAGGTTGTCACAGAACTGATTTAAAGATTAAGTTAAATGTGCTATTTAGATGTTTTAAACTGGAAAGGGAAGGTTTGGGGAAATGACTCAGTGCATTAGCATGCGGACTTGAATTCAAATCCTACTATTAGCTGCTGAATACTGTTGAGTGGGGGAGAGTTGATCTTCTTTAAGGCAGTGACTCTAGATAGGCTGACTAGACTCTAGTGGATGAACTTGCACCAAGGGACATCTAGGTACAAATGCTTGACTGGATAGGATTTAACAAATATGACATAATGCATTGAAATCAAATGGGGAGGGGCTATGGGGGCACAGATGGGAGAGGGTGTCTAAATAAGATGTATTATATACTATGCACAAAAACACAGTAAAACTTTTTTTAAAATAAAATATAAAAGAAATCCAAGCCAAACCTATGTTTAACATTGCTCCTGACTCATGTAAAGTCCTTGGTGAATAGAAGGAAACTCTTTTATTATTAAATTCCTTATCATTTACAAAGAGAGTACGTGGAGTAGATGTCTTTAGAGCCCTTGTCCTCAGTTCTCTTCAGTTTTTCCTGAATCCAGTTTTCAGTACGTTTTCTAAAGCAAGTCAAATGCAAACAAACTTCTTGATACTTAGGTTTTGATTATGGGGGAAATTCTTTCTACTTTACTTTTAGTGAGATGGCATTACAGATATTTTTGTTTCAAAGTTGGTAACTAAAAATGACAATTTATTTTCTACCAGTTGCAATTCTGGAATATTTATGTTACATCTAAAAATCATATATTCAATTATAAATTACAATGTTGTTTTGATGTCACCTACTTAGAAGTGGGTTTCAAGGAG